GTATCATCTATACAAATAAATAAAATTGAAGTGTTTGTTTGTGATGTCAAAATAATAGTTTCATGCTATCACGGTTACTTGCAAAATACCTAGGTCTATGCCTAAGAACCAGTTTTTTTTTGTCTGTCTGTTTGTTTCGGGTAATCTTTTAAACCCTATACCAACCCGTCTGGCCCGCGTCGTACAGTAGTCCAAAACCTCCTTTCTAAGAAGAGGCCTATGTCAGTGGACTAGTAGTGGCTGTTGATGATGATGGATGATGATTCTTTTAAAAAGCTGAACCGATTTAGATAATATTTTACTACCAGGTAGCTGTATATATAAGAAGTAACTAAGGCTACTTTTACTCTTAGAAAAACCCTATAAAATTTTGCCCGGTCTGGGAATCGAACCCACTAAGGCAGCGCTTTTCAAATGCCACGCGAACGAAGTCGCGGGTACCAGCTAGTGATATATATAAATATGTACGTATATTAACAAAAGCAAGGTGTCCTGTTATCGATTGCCGAAGCCTTCCAACTGATAAGCCAGCCGTACGCTTCGTGTTTTTGTATCAACCTTTGTTTATTAGAAGGTCGTTTGTACTCTAGGGAACTTACATGTTTGAGTAGAGGCATTTTGGACAAAGAAATTCACATTCAAAAGACTTCACATTAAAAAAACGACACCACACCTACTCATCATCTAGATGTATTTAGACGAGGCGCGTTGGGCATTTTTTGAGATTGAACAAACAATTGAACTCGCGACACTGTTACCGCTACCGACACCCCTGTATATAAGTTTTCATTTCTGTCGGCACTTTCGGATTCTTTATTCTGAACGTTAATCAACTTTTGTACAAAAATGTGACATTATGATTTACAAGCTAACATATTAAAGAGATATAATAAAACTGACCCATTTAAGGCTAGACAATAATATATGTTTCTAACTACTACGAATATAATTGTATTTTTGAAATAAACATGAATTCAATAAATAGATCAATATCAACAAATTAACAATGACCATTCTTATTATATCCGGCTTCCGATAACGGAGAAAAAAAACAAATTAATTATGCCCGCCAAAGATTAAAAAAGCAACTGGCCGTATAAATTCTAAGGGATGCCAATAAAAAGCGATGCAAACGAAAAAAAAAAGAATTACATTCTAAAAATGAACGCCCAGCTGCCAACAGAACGAACGAGAACATTAATTGAGAGGGAGATATTGCTATTATCGCGGGGGAGTAAGAGAGAGGGAACGAGGATTAAAAATGGGAAGTAGGATTAATTTTATTTGAATATCAACACAATAATATATTATCCGTAATAGATCGCAAGTTGTTAACTATGTTAGCGGAATTTATTCGTTCCTCATTGAGAAGCAAAGCAAGGTCAAAAGTTTCAAAATTTGTAATCGAAGGTTTTCTAGATTTGCTATCACTTAGAGGGAGCATCTCTTTTAGGAGGGAGGGAGGGGAGGACTAGACGTGTTTTAAAGACAAATAAAAATGCCTTAAAGAAAAGTTAATCGAAGTGAAAAAGCTTAAACTCACCGTTTCACGGACAACATTTCAAAGGATTTGTACATTAAACATTTTCAACAATAAACGTCTCTCAGGATAAAGCGGAAGATGAACAGAAAAAAACTGTTATTTTTAACGAAATAAATAAATAAAAAATGAATACCTGAAGTCCACACGCTAAAAATATTAAAGAGGCTTTTTTTCCTGTAACAACCCTTTTTGGGATTAAGCACCCAATTTTTTTACGCTCACTAATACTATGGCGCACTCGTTAATATATTTTTACGTGTATTTTAGTTATTATTTTATATATCACGGAAGGCTGCCATGTGGTTAAATCAAATGCTTTTCAAATTCAGACAATGGTAGCTTATTCTTCTAGCTAAGGCAGGTCTAGAACCGTAGGTAAAAGACCGTAGCGTAATGTTGTCCACGAGGTCTTTTGAGAACGGATCAGAGGTGATCCAGAGGTCGTGGGTTCGATTCCCAAATCCCAACCAAGTATAAATAAAATTTAATTATGTGGATAAAGACTATGTATTTTGCTCTATGTTTACGTAATTTTTCTATAATATAGTATATTTGGCATACATTTACTTATATGTATAGTAGGTACTCTCCCTAGTTTCTGATTACAAAAGTATAAATAGTAATAGTATCTAAAGAAATTCATGGAATTGAATCAAGACTATGGTCCGTAAGACAAGCAAGATCGGATCAACGCTCCTAAAATTGTAGTTAGCAAGTTCCAAATTTTTAAAGATTAAAAAAAACTACTGTTAAATCATTGGCAGCACTGGCAGCATATGCCACTATTACTAATCTATTAGCCAATTACACAACAAATCTAAATCTAGAACACAAACGTGTAATACAGTTCTCTACCTTACTCTTTTCAATAATACAGTACTTTCACTCTTTTCAATAATTTACAGTATTTCCTTGTCCAAAATGTTTTTACTACTAAGAACCGGAGTACAGCGGAGGGAGGCTAATCCGGATTCTGAGAGCCCTCGCTTTTGAATTAAGAATGTCGTCTTTATATTTTTTTCTTCAATAGAAAATTTAAATCTCTGTTGCGATTGGTCAGTTTTAATAAAACTACCGCACAATCATGGAAGATAGCAAATTCAAATGAAAATGGTACAAATTAATGATTCTTGTTAGAAAATTGTATAATTGTTACAGCTTTTTATATTCACAATAATCATAATTATATATTCGATCTAAAATACCCGGATAACGTTTAATATAAAAAAACAAAATGTATAGGATATGTTCGTTGCGGTCTTGGTAACACTATAAGAGAACAGTGTACTTCTATGTTTGGTCTGTTACAAATGTAGTGTCTTTAAATGAAAACGGCCGTGTGTTTCTTCCCATAATGGAATTAAAACAGTGATCGATAAATCTTTTAAGACCAAAAAACGGTAAACAATCAAGCAAAAAGGGCCCAAAACAACACGTTAAATGTTACCAACATCTCTCAACTCAAACTTGCTACTAATTAAAGCGAACTAACAAGCGACTTCCCGTTTCTCCAACATTTCGGGGGTAGCATGGCAACACCGGCGGGGAGGGATAAGCGGCTTACAGGGGTGGTAGCGGGCTGTTTTGATTATTTCAGAAGGATGTCTTCTTGGAACGTAAATTATGCAACGTTTCTCGCTGTTGTTTTGGCCATGGTTTCGGCTGTGATGTACTACGTATAGTTATCTGTTATAGGCAAACTTCGTAAGTAATTTTCTTAATATAAGACAGCTGTAGCGTGTTGTCGTATATTAAAAGCCTTTTTTTATATTAGTAACTTTTTAAATAATTAATGGTAATGAAAACCCCAATGTAGGAAGGTTTTGAATTTAGAACGGGCAATATTGTTTTAGGTTTAGATAGAAATATTGTTTTATTTTTGTTACATTTTGAGTCGGTTTTATAGACGCTTTTAATACCCTATAACTATATTTAATGTAATAAATAAGACTAGCAGTTGGTAAACGAAAGTATTTAATAAATTTACATATTTTACGAAGATCTAATGTGTGCTTAGCTTTTAAAAGGAATTGGAAATAAGTGGAAAAGCGTATAACACACGTCTTAGCGTCTTCGGTTTTGAAGCATAGATGTACCTATATACTGATATATTTTTTTAAATTATGTAGATAGTAAGATATTGTTTATGTTTAACTACAAATAAGAACTTTAATGTTGATTAGCTTATTGTAAGAATGTCAGGTAGAATTTATTTAGTATGAAAGTTAAAATATAAGAAAGACAAAATAAAAGGAGCACCTGTCTCATTAAAAATATCACTCGGGCATGTAAATGGTCTCGGAATAATTTAGAAGCTGAAACTCTCGAGTACAATTTGTTTCGGTAGCCATTTTGAAATTTATTGTAACTCACAATTTCGTTTTTTTTTCTTTCGCTTGTTTGTGGCCACGGTAAGTTGTTTTCTGTTTCTTATCTTAATGGTTTGGATGAAATTGTTTATGAATTTTGGATGGTACGCATTTATAACATCTGTTCTTTACAAGTTAAATGATGTTAAATTTTGAATAATTGTATTGGTTCAAGTTACTTGTTAGATAGAGAAATCTTACATACGTTCGTATGCAAGAAGATGTTATAAAATGTTACTAATATTTATGGTTTCTTTTTAATCATTGTTATTTTCGGAAATGCTGAAATACTGGATTTGTTTATTACTCCTTGACTTGGAAATTCATTCTTATAAGTATCTTGGTGGTAAATTCGTTGTAATTTGGTAATTAGTTAGAAAAAAAATTACCAAACTAAAAAATAGAAAATAAATTTGAAAAAAAGCGTTGGGTGCTTTTTACTATTGACAACAGGCACCCAACGCTTTTTTTCAAATTTATTTTCTATTTTTTTCCTTTGGTTTACTATAGAAAGCGTGTTTTTTAGTTTTTTAAAACTATATTTTTTTTTTAAACTATATTTTTTTTCATTTTTTTTTATATTAGTGTATTGTCATCGGTCCTCGATATATCTACAAAGTTTAAACGAATTCTGACCGTTTAAAGTCAGTCAAAATTACGCCCAAAGGAGTCGGTTACATACAAACAAACATACAGGTGAAGCTAATAAAAGCGTGTTAAAAAATAACAGATATTGTGGCTAGAGGTATTCAAATGCTATTTAGTAAGAATATAACTTTTTTTTATATTATATTAAATATTGTTACGTAGACATCTACCTAACAGTATTTTACAAGAAATGAAAACGATTTTTCTTTTATACAGACAGACAGAAAAAAATATGAAAAAAAACTTTCATTTAAGTTATTTAATATTCTAGATTCTACTGCCTCAGACTCCAGAAAGTCTGGTCTTTAATGGTATTTTTTTTAATCTGTGTACAAGTCTAGACAAACCTTTGAACCTAAATATTTAATTATTGCATGTTTAGTTTTTATATTTCATCTGTAATATATTCACAAGTAATGTTAATATTATAAGGAACTTACCTTGTGGAAATCCAACCGCTTCTAATCCATGTGGTGTCAATCCAAATGGGCCTAATCCTCCTAGAGGTCCCGGCCCCATGCCCATATGGTGCGCTGACGAATGGTGAGCATACGGGTTCTGGGCTAATGGTGAAGGCTGCTTCAAATAGTGAAAATAGTGATGTAATGGCGTGGCCGAATGCGCCTGCGGAGCCGACGGCCCGCCGGCCGTTGGGCCCGTCGCTGACGACGAATTCGTCAGCAGCGCCATCTTTCTTTTTTATACGCACACGTATTTAGTCACCGCATTAACCTCTTCCGTGTGTGTATAGACATGTTGCTGAGTTTTCAGTGCGTTCTTTTTGTATTATTTCTCCACTGAGACATTTTTATTCCTGGAACAAGATAAAAAAAATGTTAGAATGAAAATCATAGCCAGCTTTCTTCGTCTGCTTGGATAAGTGTTTCCATTTAAATTGGTTACATAAAAAGGTTTAGAAAAAATCATGTATTAATAAAAGATTCAGTAAAATAAAATACGATGCGAGTCAATATCTATTCAATATTCTCGCACAACTGAGCATTAAATACAGCAATTATTCACAGCTTATACGTTCACGTAAACAGCTACGTACGTCTATTTCAATTATAAATACGGCCAATTCATTTTTTGCCATTAACTATTTTACAATTACCCTTAACAATGGTACTTTTTCCGCGTTATTGCAACACTAAACGTCAAAGTCAAACACGTGGAACGCCTTCCAAATTTAATATTTGAATGAGCACAGAATTCCATTCGTCACGACTCGGTGTTCGAATTTCGAAATTCAAAAGTATTTTTTACAGCTATTTAAAAAAGAGCGTTCCAGATGTAATGAATCATTCCCTGTTCATTCGTTTAGTGGTGGAAACCTACTTCGATTCATATTTTGAAAAATAAAATAATTTCTTCATTAAATTAATAAATTATAACAAAACGGTAGGTACTAATTTTTTTTCAAGGGTCATAGTGTAAAAATGTATATTACGTTTTTTCTTAAATACGTCATTTCCATAGCGTAAGTAAAATACTTAGGTTGTAATCTTTGATATGTCTAGATAGACTGTCAAAGCTGTCACAACATGGAAAAGAATAGTGTCCTGTTGGCCACTAATTTCTTTCCATTGTCGCTGTCACTATAAACGCCATCAACACCAGCATGATAAAGTTGGCCCACTTGCTTTTAATTGTTTTGTAGTGCGACGCTCCGCGATCTAGACATTATAATGATATAAGGCATAGGTGATAGATAGGTATTTAATATTTCAAAATTACCATATACTTTAAAAAGACGAGTGTATCCTAACATTTAATAGTAAAAGTGAATTTTATTCTTCATACGAGTACTTTTGAAGTTCTAACATAAAGAAAATAATTTCAACGCAGCCGTTCAAAAAAAATTGCTTTGACGTTTGTATTTGTATGGCAGTTTTTTTTCTGATGTTGGCGAAGGTGTAGTAGGTACATGTTTACTGACATTTTGTCACGTTTATTTTTTTCCCGCTGTTACCTGAGTTGCCTTTGCCAAATTGAGGGGCTATCACGTGTAGTCTTTGTGTGGAGAAAAAAATTGACGAGCCATATCAAAGTGATGACATTTGAGATGAGAAAAAATGCGTGTATGATATGTGTATGTGTAATAAGAATATTGCAAGGGTGTGATGGAAATATTTCTGAAATTTTGTTTTGTATTTCTTTTACTGTTTCTATGATAAGATTGTTGTTTTTCTTTGTCACTTTATAGGTAGTAGATACGTTTTTCTTCAACCCTCATCTTTTTATATTTTTTTAAGTTAAACAGACTATAAATAGGTACATTGGATACGAAAATAAATGTACAATAAATAAAAGTTTTATTTTGTGTAGTATTTTTAAGTGTTTGTCTTTTGCTAAAAAATCTATTCTTTAGGTTATTACAATAAACTATGTTATAATAAAACTAGGTTAGGTTTTAGCATTTTTTCTACAATTGGTTCTTTATTATTTAAATCTATTTAGAATTAATAGCTTGAAGTGTAATTTAGTTTTATTAAATAGCCATGAATGAGCTTTAGCCACAAAAATTATTACAGAAGTTAATGCGTACAGTACCTATATATATATATATATATATATTGATCTGTCATGTACGGAAAGTCTATACTAGTTCCAGTTATACTGGTTATTTATAACTAACAACTAACCATAGTCTAAGTTAAATCTTATCTAGATCCTAAATTATCTCATACAATGCTTGAACATTTTCTATTTAAAGAAAATTAAAAAAAAAAATGTCACTTTCAGTATCTACCAGCACTTCCCAGAACCCACAGTGTTCGTACCACAGAATATACCAACAAAAGATTATCCTAAGCTCCAAGATATTATCTTAAGCAACCCAAAAATATCCCACTCGAAATGCAACGCTACTGCAATAGCAATAAAGTAACAAATCATTTTTGTTGCAACAACATTTTAGCAAAGGATTTCCGCTTAAATGGGAAGGTTGCCGCCAAAACCCTTAAAAGGTGTTCAATTGTATAACTTGACGTAGATTTTGTTAGAGATTCCAGTTCTAAAGGTCGGTGGTTCTGAAGTATTTTCACGTCAATGATTTTTTGACAATTACTTATTTTTGAAAGTAACTAGTATTTTTTTGGGGTACCGAGAAATTATTTTCTATTATTCAAACTAACTTTTGATTTCGTAAAACCGAAGTTCTTACGGCGGTTACTTCACACGTAAAGCTTTGCCAATATTAAAAACAGAAGGTACACGAGTACAGAGAAATCATGTACACAGGTCTTACGAGTCTTTCCTTCTTTCTCTTCCATAGGCAAGGTAGGAGGTATAATTATCAATAACTATTAAATAAACGTTTGAATTGTTTAATGTATCGACCAGGTTAGACTGTTCACGGGCCAACTCATGGTCATAAGGCGTATATGACAGGCAATTTATAGGTATGTAATACCTATCAATCGTGTTTATTCCCATATTAGATAATATTTTGTCTTGGGACGCGAAAGTACCTATACTAGTTGTTAAGTTAAAAAGATGTTTGAAAATCTTCTTGTAAACCATGATTTCTAGGTTGTGAATACATGGAGTGAATCTGCATAATAGCAAGTTGGTAATATGTACATGAATATTTAAGATGAATCAGTAGGATACCTCAACAATTAGTTAACTAACTATCCTTTCTTTTTTTTTTAAAAGACAACTGCCGCACTAGGAATATATCCTATATCGCTGGGGACTTTACAAACATACACGAAACGGACACGAAAAACACCCAGACTCAGAACTATAATTTGAGGATTACACAAAGTTCGGTTCGAACCCACAACGCTCAGCATAGTTTGACGCGGCGCGGCGATCGCTTAAACCACTACACCATCCGTCCATATTATATTTTTAAATTAAATATGGTACATAATTTTGTCGCTAATTAAAAATACGCCCCAACCAGGCAAGTATTCGATGATAAGTTGAGCTATGAACAATGAGACTCCTTGGTAAACAGAATATGCTACCCAGCAGGGCTAGGTCTATCTGTCTGTAAAAGTAAAAATAAGTGTTAAAGAAAGTAAAAAAAAAGCAGTTATTTACAGGTGTATCTACGTTTATATAATTCTACATCTGAATACCTATGCATTATAATTTACTAAAACTAAAGCGATTTATTGAGATACCGTTATCTGCCATTAAATGTGCTAACGTAACATCTCAATGTACGATGCTACCGAAAATGAAACTAACAAAGCCATTATCAAAATATATGGTGTCAATCTCCGTAAAGCTATTTGTCAAAGCGCAATAAAAGCCATAAATAATAACATTGCAAACATCGTCCATATTGTGTGAAGGAAAACAAACATTGCCGCCCTATTTTGTTTGTGCAGTTGGTAGCGCTGACTGTCAACGTGACAAATTGAGAAAGCGCGCAAGGGGTCAAATGCCATACTCATTTATTAAAAATTGAAATAAATTTATATTAGGAACTTGTTTTATGATTTTTTTGGCAGAATAATGTACGTTAGTACATTAGTATGTACAAGCACTTGTTAGTATCTAACTAGAGGTAACCTGATGGCGGGTTGAATTTCCACAGCTCAACGGTACACAATTAATACCAATTAATACCAACGTGACTCTATATTACAGCTGCAGTTCCATTTGCGTTTATGATCTCTCTTGTCTTCTAAGAATCATAGCGTGATGTTAGCCTATATAACTTTTTTAACTAAATGTCTTGTTCAATACTTAGTACGTAATATGTAATAATAAATACTTAGTAATAATTTTGTTATTAAAATGACTGAAAGTCTAAGAGATATTACCATTTAAACAAACAATTAAACAAAAAGCTCTTCAGATTTGTCAGGTAAATCAGTAGATAAATAATATACATAAAATGTTATAGACAATACAATAGGTATATACACTTTTCAAGGATTCACAAATGTTATTGTAAAATTACGAGACTTAAGTGGGTTTCATGTAAAATAAACACGTAAGTTTACAATTTAAAATAACGAATATGCTATTCCATTTTTGAAATAAAGATGTTCGAATTACAAACATTCATTCAAATATGGAATGTTTAGCAACTGTCATAGTTGACAATAGACGAAGATCGACCATCGTGATCTAAAGGCCGTGTCCAATAACAATTTAGTTTTTTTTTTATTTGTGAACACTGAATTAATATTTGAGGCTACCGTAACATCCTCCCATCAGTTTATCTGTCATATTAAGGTGGTTTTTGCTTAAAATTTCAAAGTAATCTGTATAATGGCTTTGTTTAAATAGTTAGAGAAATCTGAATGTCAAAATTTGTCACACGACAAATGTCTGAGTGTGACATTACCTAAAAGGATGTAACAAATCTCTGAAAGTGTTAAATAGTTACACTGTGAAATATTTATTAAACTATTTTTACATACTTAGCCCTATATAAGTTACATATTTAATGAGGATACTTGTTACCTAACTTTGTGGTCCACAAGAATATTTAGATTAAAACGGACGGAAAGTTATAATTACACTATCTGGCAGCATAAAATGACTCTATTAAATCATTTGATTTCAATTATTAGTCACATCATCAGAGGATAAAAGCACAATTTCTTCATCTCAGTGGGAATACACAGATGTGCTTTGCTTTTACAATTTAAATATAAGCAAAGGAATATACTCGTCCATTTCCTGATGCTTTGGTATCTTTATTAGCTGCTTATAAAAGA